GAACCACCTCTTTCAAGGTGTTACAACATTTTTGGGACACCCTGTATATGGAGTAAAACTAACAAACATTCGCTTGGATAACTTTCGTAATCACTCGCGCATTCTCAACCATCCACGTTGCCTTTCGCTGGTTTATTTACTCGTCTCATCGTATTCATATTAGAAATCGATTGCGTCACAATCGCATTTATTTTCGAACAGGGCGTGTGAACTCATCGTTACTCGTTTCTGGTCGAGAAATTAATTAATATTGACAGGCGAGTAGATAACGTTGATCGATAAATATTGATCGGTACCGTCGAGGAAGAGCATTTACTTTCGCGAGGGAATGCAAAACAAGTACAGGGATTTCGTGGCTGTGTTAGATAAGGAGATAAGAGGCTCAATGTTGCAGGTGGAACGATGAGAAAGGCAAAACGAGCAACTCGAACGGACGATTGGTAGCAGAATAAAACGATTAATCGAATCGCACGAAATTTCACTCGGTGTGTCTATTCATACGCGTTGGAGTCGTGTATGATCAACGGTATTGGATATCTGTACGAGCTTTAGAAAGGGAACTTGCGAAATACATCTGAAGCCGGAAGCAAGCATGAAACGTCACGCGCGCACGTGTGCACAGCCATCGGAAACGTGAGCATACAGGAAGTAAAAGTTTACCTTTCGTCGACCCGGTAAAAAGTGACGGATGAATTGTTGTGACGTTCCGGTTGATAATGGCTTTGCTAATTGAACGAGAATCTTGTTCGTCTCGTGCAAGTAGCTATCTGGTACCCTAATTGGACTGCGAGTTTTCGGACACGTTAGGCATGTGCTCGTATGTATGAAAAATAATAAAGTATAATTACATATATAAATATGTAAAAGTAGACTTTTACACTCCTATTGGTCGATTAGACGAGTAGACTGTTGCACCCTTATTAGACGAGTAAACTTTTAGACTTTCATTAGACAAGCAAACGAATAGATAAACAGACAAGCAAGCTCTTAGACGAGTAGATGATTATTATCGATGCATTCTTCCGAACAAGTACACTTCATACTCACTCTACTGTGACGTCTTAATGCTACATTGTTTCTTTATCGAAAGTCTACAATTTAAACATAATCGGTCAGTGAAGTCGTAATCAAATGAAGTAAAAGGTGTTAGAAGCATTTCGACGAGGAAACCACAGAATTAAGACGAAGTATGAAAGGACAGGGAAGAAGGAAATACATACTCAGCGCGGAGTAATTATATGTATATGTATCTGGTTATTATAATCTACCTTTCTAAACATGGCATGCACGAATGCTGAGTCTATTTAAAGAAACGCGTCCAATTAAAAAATCAAACGAAATCCTTAAACGCTTCTGTTTACCAACCAATGCGATCCTGCGAACATAAAGAATGTTTAGACTCTCGGAGCAATGAAATTTTACCAAAAGGAACGTGAACAAAGTGAAAGGTTACGTAATTGTTCGCCCTCCCATTTATCGTCGTTGTGTAATCGGTGTCCTTCGAGAGCCACTGGAAAGGAGAATGGAAAATTTTGGAAAAAGCGGCCACTCGTTATTCACGACGACTTCTCTCTCGTTTCCATTTCTTTAAAACCTGTACGCCTTGAGGATCTCAGATAAAATTCTGGCCGTGCTGGTTTTAGCAATGGAACAACTAGGAACAGGTCGTGTTTCAAGAATACTCGTGGAAACTTTGCAGTCACCGTTCCTTTGTGAAACGACGAATCACGAGCAACGATCCGGCCCCAGAATGCTGGAATGACAATTGGAGAACAAAGGGGGAACGAAAATGAAGAGTTCGAAACGTCTCTTTCGTCTGTAGAAGAGGGATGAGATAAAAGTTGCGGGGAAATTATTGTTTCAAGAAGATAATAATAACGTGAATATCAAGGAAATATTATTGTTTCTGAAGTGATATTATGGGTTACATGAAACTGTTTCTTCTGAAGAGAATCTGGGAATATTAAAATTAAAGTTACTAAAATAAAATCGATGAAAGCTGGAATATCAAATTTTAAATTATTTTTGGTAGTGTTGGAGACAAACATTGATAATCGATACAAAGGTAAAGGAACAGAATAACTTTGTTATATTGTATTTGATTGGTGAGTCAGTTGTTATGACACTGTGAATTCCTGTTTGACTCACGGTTGCCGACGAATGCTCCAAAGCGGCTCGTAATAATATCACACCATTATCAAATACTTTGACGACATTTATTATAAATTAAAACCCATACCAACTTTCTCCGTTTCGCATAACGCATTTTATTGGTTTGGATTTTACATAAGTGCACTTTCCTCGGTAGCATGCCACGGACTAAAAATAGTATCCATGGATACAGATAAATGTAGAGCGCTCAACGTGATTGAATGTTTGTTTACATTCTACGATTCGTGTAACGATTACAACAGTGATATAACCAACAACCAGAGTAGATGCGAAACCATTCGATCGGTTCTTTTTTGTGTAAATTACATATTTTCGTCGTAATTTATCTTGGATGACCTTTAACCAAAGAATGCTGTACACTTCTTAAAACACTATTAACAGATAAGCAAAAAAATATAGGAAAAATTTATTCATTTTTTATTCAACCATAATTATTGCAAGATGTATTATTTATTTAATATTTATTTATATATTGTTACACATATTATACATATTATTTATTTATAAAACATGTTATTTATTATTCATCTTGATGGTGACATTCGCCAGCCCCCTCGAACCACAGAAAACAAGGTCAACGGCTAGGAGTGACCTTTGTCTATAGGTCACTGTACGCGACTCGGAGCCTTATAGTAGAACCTACGTAGAAAGACATACCATTATACTTTTAAGAAGGGCACAGTTGACCTTTACATCTCCTCTACACCTTCGACTGCAAGAGACCTACCTATAGATTACATCCCTCTTGACCCTCAGCAAGACTGATAAAATAGACAAGTTATTCAAGTGACGTGGTTGTAACGCATTGTCCTATATCTTCAATGAAGTGAACGGAGTCTCTCCATTTAATATTGTATTATCGTCAAAATCTGCTATTAAAAATCTACCTGACGTCAATGGTAACGACATCGAAGAACCACTTTGACGATCTCTGGCTCGATAGGAGTTGGAGCGATTATTTATTATTCGCAGCGATTACAGTGCCGCCATTCGTAATATCAATTCTCCAACCATGCGACGATTAACATTCTCAGATTTTTCTATAAAAAACCGTTCATACATATCGCTATAGTTTTTTTTCTGTCGACATATGCATAAACGCAAGCCTTGGCTGCGGCTGGAAAACTACTAACATTAAGTCACAAACACGTCTATCATTCGTTTCCACGATGCCAATGGTGATGAATACAAATGTTTCCAACGAGCTACGTGCTTCGTTGCATTCGAAGGATTGAAGTTCCTTTGACCAAAAGAGACGGACAGCATAAAACCCTTAGGACATCGATGGACGCGTTTGGTCCCTGGGAAACCCATTGTAATATCGCGGTGGAAGTATTGGTCTTGGTGCACGAAGTACCCCTTTGTGCTTGCGCACAGTGGCCTGCGAAAAGTTTGAGACGGTTGACAGTTTAGTTATGCTTTGGAGAGGGAAACATTGTCGTAAATGGAAGTACGCATTTCCGTCTTCTCTCTCCGCGTGCCTCAACTCTCTATGAAAAATTCTTTGTGCAACGTGCACGATTAAGGAAAATTTCTTTGAAGATGACATTCACACTTCATGAATTGAATAAAATATAGTGTATACGTAGTCGAGCGTTACCAGTTGAGGTTCGGGGAATAAGAAAATACTTATTCCGAAAGAGAATAATTCTTTTCTCACTTTGTTATTTTATTTGTAAGTAAATTACAAATGCTTCACGTTCTCCACGTGAATTAATACTGCAAAGAGTTTATCGAGTCAGTTGGCGGTGATAATAATTAAATTTCAAGATAGAAAATAGTGTTTGTGCATGTAATAAGGATTCAAAAGGAGTTACTAAAATTGTGAATAAATATTCATTATTTAATTTCTCAATTTTTTAGCATGACATGGTACAGCTCAAGGTCGATAGATAACCATTTTTATTTAATTCCAGGAATATAATTCGTCTCTGAATACTTTTGTATAGATTCTCATGCGTTGTCCTTCGACATACTATGGTATCGTTTGTCTTTTCAGAGTTTTAGTCAAGGAAGAAACCACTAAAATAACGAATAAATATTCATCGTCAACGTCATCAAGGATATCGGTACATTTGTGTACGTTCAGTTTACAAGTTACTTTAAATACTGTGCCATGGAAAGGATCGATACGATACCGAATAAATATTCAGAATTAAATGTTTCTGTGGGATAGCGCGGCAGTTTCGATAGATGCCATGGGTCAATAAGAATATACACTTTTTTAATCTTAGTTTGACCTTTGAAGCCGCAACGAATGTTGCTTTGATATTGCGTTTTCTCTATGCACGCCGGCGGGTCAATATTTGATTCCTCTTGCGCCCTAAAGATCGAACATCTTTCAACTTCCAAGAGTTATTCAAATTTTTAAATGTTTCGAACTTCACATTTTCCATAATCGTATCACATCGAATTCTCCTTCATTTTGAACAAAATAGAAGAGTTTATGTGGCTAGGACTTGAGCTTTAACGATTCGACCATGAATTGGTTAAGTCGCTCGGTTTTATTTCAATAATTTGTTTCGACCTCCTAGAATCTGAGAGGATTTAAGTTTCTTTAAATACTATAACGTGGAAAAAAAACCCACTACAGTGGTAAATAGAATGTTTATCCAAATTTGTGTAAATGAAGAACAGAAACTTAAATTAAAGTATATTTTTAAATGTTCTAGACTTCTAAATGTTGTAACGTGTATTTTATTTTTATATTTTATGTATTCACGCATTTGTCCACATCCTTGTGTATTTGCATTTGTCATAAATATCTACAGGTTAGTGATAAATAAAGATTCATAGTTAAACTTTTCGCCGAGTCATCATGACAACATCAAATGATTAATAGGTGCCACAGGTTAATACAAGTTTAAACTTATATTATTTCAAGCTTGATCGTTCATCTCTAAAAGGAGGTGAACTCTGTTGACAGGGAATACATTTTCTTACAATACAATTCTATAGAATAATATTATGTGACTCGTGATATAAACGGTTAGAACTAGACAGAGATACTTACGTAAATTCATATTTTTACAGATATAGATAAAGAATTGAGATTTCAACGAAAATATGCTTAATCTTCTAAACAGTTCAACATACATTTTATTGTTGATATTTTATACATCGCATTCATGCACATGCTTATACATTTACCCATATTTGCCATAGATGCATAACCATTTGCAGTCTAGTTATAACTTCGACAATTTAAAATTTTTCTAATACAATTTAATAGAAATATTCCGAAAAAAAACAACTCACCATTGAGCATAATAATAAAAAGAATCTTTTTTTAACCCAGAAAAAAAGTACCCCCGTAACAAGCCTGTGACAGTCAATACGTTACCCATGGCCTTCTTCCTCGAAAAAAGCCTCAACCAAAGCCTCTCCATCCACACCCACGGCACTCGGAGAACCCTAGAGGCGATCGATCACCCTGACCCACCCAACGTTCTACCATCGTCACCAGCGCGTCGTCACGTTCAGTCACCAAGTTCACCGTGTCTCTATATTTATAAACACCCCATAACCCGATCGCCGTCTAACCGATAAACAAACATCCCCGTCCGCTGGTGGAGGGTTCGGCGGAGTAGGGAAACCATTGTAAACAGCTTCGGATCCGATCGATTATTCCACTCCGATTATCGATGCTTGCGTTCGCCGAACATCGATGACAGGAAGGAGGAATGCAACGTAACGACTAATCATCGATTCGTCATCAATCGCGAGGAGGTCAAAGCTCATGGTAGCGGGATACTCGATTCGTTTATAAAGAATTTCAGTTCCTCGGTTCACGGATCATACATTTGCGCGTGACGATCCGCTTTCGCCACTATCTTAGCACGCCAGCGAGATCAGTATTTGCTCAATCGCAGGTGGAAGACTGTCCTCCGTCCATTGACTTAGCGGAGAACTTGACGAGTGTTGTTCAGTGGGTGTGGAGCGATCGAGGGAACTCGTGAAAGGTGTTCGAAGACTTTGGGTACCGTTGCGAACCCCGAGGATTTTTTGTTGAGAACTCCTTACGTCTGTTGTGGAAGGATCGGTGAGAGCTTTGGGTCCACGGATGTGGTGAACGCGTTGAAGACTAACTTAAGGAACGACCTCGCGTTGGTGAGTTTGATTGGATGGATGCGTGACTTGATGACTGAATAATTCTCTTGAATGCATACAAAATTCTTGGGTGATAGTGGAGCGATAATAAAATGTCTGAAATAATTTAAATTGATGAATTGTAATCCTGGTGTAGAAGCAGAGTTTTGAAAACAATTAGTATTTATACGGGTAGGTTAAATTAATTAAAGCATGATTTCTTGTATTATGGTAAGGATTTCAGGTGGAGAGGTTTGATGCTGATTGGAAACTGAATAGCTGATAGTTTTGGGGACTTGATCGATTCTTGCTGGGGTGGTTGAGATGGATGCCATCAAGGATGTACTCTTTTTTGAGAGGGTCAACAAATTAATATTTGTTCATGTTCTTATTACTTAAGATCCTTAAAATATTTCCATGGTATATGCATTTATGTTACAGGCCTTTTCATTAGGCTGATTGAACAAGAAACTTTAAAATGGTATTCTTTCATTTAGGGTAAAAAATATATTTTTATTTATATTCTTGCTTCTTAAGCTCTTCCAAATATTTCTACGAAATTATATCAACAAAATTTCAAATTTATCAAAATTACAACCGTTCATACGTATAAATAACTTATCAAATTTCAAAAGTTTATGTCGTTTGATTGCAAAAAAAAATCACAAAAATTGTCTTGATATAGGTCAAAAAACAGTAACCTTTTATGGAAATCGAGATTTGGGACAAGGTTCGTTCTACATGTACAACGTGTATAATTTTTTTTGTTGAATACTAGTTCGACCTATATTTCATACGTGATTCTGCAGCTTCTTGTTTTCAAAAGGAACTTGGACTCTTGCGATAATTCATAATTTAATTATTCTGTTATTGAAAGCGACCATACAAGACCTGTATTTCCTTGTGCAGGCATAATTGCAAATTAGCGGCATGATAAATTAAACTTAATTGGCACACCAGTACTCTCTTTCAGTTTTTGCGTCTTTATGATAAAATTATCCTTGAGAGGCAACGCCTGAGAACCTTGCTCACTTAAAAGTATCCAGAAATTGCTACACGGTATGATCTACGTCACAGTTACTTCTCTGCTTCCTAAATAATCTTTGTAGCTAGACTAAATATTATGTTCATTATATTCTTCATAACTGCATTTAATTTTTTGAATATGCAAATATTCTAACTCCTCCTATCTTTTCTTTAATTAATTTTGATTAGATTATTATAACAACAGGAACTAAAGATCAGACCAGTTTGTAATATAGCTTGTCAAGTTTATAATTATATCACATACTCTTCCCAATTGAAATTAATTATTTGAAAATGTTAATATTCTCCTAATTAGAAATGGAATGGCAGTTCAACATGCAACATAGCTTACGAAGACTATAATTACGTTAAAATGACTCTCTCAGCATTACATATGTCTCTTCTTCGTTCCAATAATTTCTGCATCATTACTGTACAACGATGAATGCAAGACATTTCGAACTCAGCTTCGTTAGCAATCATCGTCTTGTATTCATACTGATCGATCGTACCGACTGCGTTGCGTGTAACAATTCTAGTTTTACACTCCGCCGAGCGAAACAGGGAGCGCGGTTAATTAAAATTCGAGAGCCTTTCGATTCCGTATACAACGAATTGTTTTTAGACTGGCGAACCGCGGCGCTTCCACACGTATCTGAATAATTAATACGTTCCTAGCGGTATTACGTATGAGACAATTTAAAATTTATAATTAGCCCTCAGCGCATCGAACGCCAGAAGAAACTTTCGTTTCGTTCGCTGCCGATAAATACTACTATCTGTTAACTTCGTCCTTTCGTTTCCAATTTCAAATGTACCCCTTCCATTAATTTTCCATTCGTCGCGTGACGAGCTAATATTACACTGTGAGATCTGTCGATAACGAAGTTTATTAAAAAGAAAATGATTCGAAGAAATGGTGAAACTAACAGAAGGAAGAATTTTTATTTGAACTTGCCGAACTGTGATAGTATGAATTTTGGAGTTGAAATTGCAAAGAAATTTAGAGATTTTTAGACCATTTGTAGGTGGAAATCTATGAAAAATATTAAATTAAGGCGGTCATTCATGTTGACAGAATAGTGAATAGTTTACGATGTACTATAAACAAGCAAGTCATTTGTATTCAGGTGACAAATTGATTAGACCCTATTAGGTATAATTGCAGAGAATTATTAGGTCAGACTTAGTGGTTACAGGTATTGGAATAATAAATAATTCATAAACACCACAGAAACTATTCGAATTTCTATAACTTGCAAAGAAATGAAGAACTCTTTTCAAGAATGCGGAAACGCAATCACGACGCCTCCACTCTTCGTAACGAAGCGAATAACGAAACAAAGTTAACCTATTCGTGAACGAAAAGTTTAACGTAATCACCATTGCAAATGCAACGCAAGCATTTAACAATGCAATGCCGGGAGATTATAAAATTACAGTGAAAAGTTTCCCAAGCTATGGACTCTTCCCAACAGCAGAAGCACCAAACAATGTAGCTCCTCCGCACTAAGAACTTTACATGGTGATTCGAATAACTGGAGGTATTTCAGAACAGTCTCGTAGAAGATTAATATTGCAAAGGAAAATTTGGTATAATTTAAAGAATTATTATACTGATATTATTCCACAATTCAAAAATTTCAAGAATTTCATTTATATTCATTTTCTTTGACATTTGACTTTCAGCATTATCTTTTTTAAATTCTTCAGTAAAAAACACTGTCACCCATATATGGAGAACAAAAGTGAGTATCACAGAAACTATTTATTCGAAGATAGATATGATAGATAAAAATTTGAAAAATACCATTAAGGAACTAAAATAATGCCCTTTCGAAGGGTTTAATTTCTGCCCGAGGCAATTGTTCTGAAAATGCTGTTTGTATATTCTAATTCTTAGCTACGATTAGAGTTTGAATAACTTAAACCATCTTACTTCAATTCCTCACTCTGTTTGGCGCATGAATAACTCAAAACACCGTGCCCCACTTCCCCGCTCCATTTACTTCGGAAGTACCTCGATGCACCGTATTCCAATTTCCAGCTCTACCGCATCAATTTCTTAAGGGAACGATAATCCAATTCCCCTTCGAGTCTGCTGCACGAATGGCCCAATACATCAGTGCACTCCGACCTTGAAAGGTATATGGCAGGGGTGGGAAACCTTTTGACATTAGCGACTCACACGACACATCAAAAATTTTTAAAAATTTACAAAGACATTTATCTGAATTCTAATTAAACACGTTTAAAGAATCCATTTTTCCGTGTTATTTTTCTGTGTTTTGTTAAGCAACCATGAATTGGTAGAAATTATTTGTTTCCTTAATTGATCATGATCTGGGGGGGCATCTTAAGAGACATTTAGATTTATACGTGCGTTTGCTTTTATATCAACATTTTCGTTATTAACGATCACAGTTCCTTACATTAATTAAAACGTATGCAATATTCATTACACGTAAAGATTGTTTTGATTTTAGGTATTCGATTAAAACAAAAAAAAAAACATTTGAAATTTGTCCCTCGAAAGGTTGAGAGTGTCTTAACTTTGTATCGAACGAATTTTATCTTATCTTTTAGAAAAAAAATTACTTTCTGTGATCATCTAATTGTACTTGCATTCAACAATTTTATGAACGATATCAAGGAATCTTCAAAGAGTTCTGAGAAACAGAATTCAATGCTCCGAATTTTGTTTCGAAATTGGATTAACTTTAATAAATCACGAACTGTAATCGATACTGCAACGATTCTACCACCGCATGAACTACGTTTTAAACTTTTCTACAAGGTAACGTAATCGTATTTCAAAACCGAAATAACTATGAAATAAGATAACACGATATTGGAAATAGTATACCAAATAAGGTTATTTCAAGGCGCCCAGGTCTGATCGTATCCACCTTCCTCCAATCTTGCTATCTATACAGCAGGTTATCTCATTCCTCTGATATATCTGACTTTGGTTTGATTTACTTTTTACTTACCATGTCCTTTCTTCAACCTTACCTCGTCCATTCTGTTATTTCCTCAATTTACCTGTAATCGTCTACTTCCTCCCATCTCGCGTCGAGTCAGTACTCTTCGCTTTCTTTCCGTAATGACCATCCTCACAAATCTAAATTAGTTGATTATGGAAGCAGTTTTAAATGTTATATACCACCCAATGTTACCACTCGTATCCAATCAGTAGATCAGATCGTTAACTAGAATTTAAAACATCACGACGAAGATAATTTTATGAATCGCCAAGGACGCCTTCGTTCTCGCATTTCGACGCAAATCGAAAAACGTACTGCATTATATCGCAACATTTTTTGTGATATAGTGTTATGTGATAATGGAGGAAATTATAGCGAAGTGTCACGTATGTCGACTTATCGTCTGTTGAATATAATATTGATAATTTTCGTATCAAGCCGAGGTGAAACAGTATCGATGAAATGACGCGAACAATTCAATCGACCGTAAAAGGAAATTCTTCTCGAAA